CCTTGTTTATGGAAAAATTCTATGGTTATGAGGAGATGTGAAAGCATCCTGTTGATTTGTTTGTGATAAGAAAATTTTAATTAAATCTGACACCTATGGTGAACATCAGGTTTTATTCATTATTGTGAACCCAGAGATCTGGGTAGACATGCATTATTAAAAGTTTTATTACTGCATGACCTTGGTATCATTACTATTAACATCAAATGTATTGAATAATAATCATGACCATCATGAATATTTAATGGATGGGAGGCATTCACATATAAGGAAAAGATTAAATAGCTAGGCCACGTTTATTTGTTTGTTTGTTTTATTTAAAATATACAATAAAAAAATTGATTTGTAAAACTAAAACTTATATAAAATACATATATAAGAACGGTTGAAGTTTTTTGTGCAAACAATTTCCTTATTTGTATTCCATTGTTTCAATCATTTTTTCTTCTGATCGGTTTTCTGTACTCTAAAAAATAAAAAAATGATTAATTACATTATTATTTATTGCTGCTCTTTCTATATATACATATATACATACATAGATATAAATACCTTGAAAGCTAATCGATCTATAAAATGACACACCCCGATATTTTTTTCAGTTTCATATCTTGAACCTGTATCAACATATACTCCAACTGCTGAAAAGTGACCAGGTATATTTTGAGTTGTAACACGTACACCATTTGGCAGAGTAGTTATTTTTGCAACATTATTATTTATATTTGATGATGTTGATAATACATTTGAAACCTATTCATTTATTATTCATTTAGCAATAAATTATAAATTTTTTACATGTATAATATATAAAATAATAAATAGTTGGACAAACTTTTGTTGTTGAATTCAATGAATTTGTTGTTGTAGAAGCAAACCTATATGTTTTTGATAAATTTTGTTGAACTTGTCGATGAAAAGTTTTGGACAACGATAATCTTAATCTTAATGCTAACATTATTTCTATTATCATAAAAAATTTTCAAAATTTAGATTTTGTTGATTGTTGGACACGTGACATAGAGGATGGTCACACGAATTTACTTATTATCCTGGTGGATATATACAGAAAGTCACGGTCATATGATAATTTTCTTTTTTTGGGTGATGAATCGGAGTTGAGTTATCTTGTTTCTAATTTTGCTAAAGCATCTTATACTATAATACTATTTGTTTTTTGTTAACAAAATATTGTCAGTTTGGCAATTCATCTTAATCTCATTTTAAGATGATGATCTCAAGCGCACATACCGTATATTTAGATAAATAATATAAATCTATATAATCAAGTGTTTTAACAAATGAATCACCAGAAAAATCTTCACTCCATGGATCGTATCCTAATTATTCATCGCCATACTATTATTATTATGAATTTTATGAAAAACTTGCTTGAATCAAATAAACTCATTGCCGTGCTCCAATGTCCAATGGTTATAAAAAGCTCATACAAAATTACTAAAAAAGAATGCACAAAGCATTTTGAGTAATAGTAGTTTAATCATTACTATCTATAATCAAGATACATAAGAAAAAATTTTAAAATTCGTTATGCCAAAATTACTAATGCTAATTGCATTTCACTTGACTGTACTATTATTATTATTTTTTTAGATTAGTATTAACATTAAGACCTAATGGCTAATCCGTGTAAAAACATTCATTGTATATGTGGTTCCCAATAACTGTTTCCCTTCCAAGACGTTCGTTTCCTCAACAGAACGTTTCTCCCTCCCCGAGACATTTTCTAATACATTCTATCAGTTTAACATAATATTTCTTTTATTTTCCTACCATAACTATATCATGTCATTCATTACTATAATTATTCATTAATGACATATATGTGATGTTGGCCAATTAGCTGACTAATAAACGGTTTAACAGGCTTAAAAGGCTTAGCAGACTTAATAGACCTAAACAGATTAGCCAGCTAATCAGCTAACATTACCTGACATGATATAGTTATGGCAGGAAAATAAAAGAAATGTTATGCTAAACTGATAGGATGTATTAGAAAACATCTTGCCGGTATAACGTCCTGTCAGTAATCAGTGTTGGGGGAAGCGTCTGTCAGAGGAAACCAAACAAAATAAAATAATAACCTTACATTAAAAGAACTTCAAATACATTTGAAAAATAATACCATTGCCAAGATTTTTTTATACAGTTGTTTGATAAAGCAGTTTCAAAATATGAAGACCTTGCTTTTAAAATAGTAAAATGAGTTTTAAAAGTCATAACATCTTTATCCACTCCAACTTGGATTTCTACATGATACAATAAATCACTTACAAGTTCACTAGTATATTTAATGGTGATGTATTGTTGGAAATGATAAAGTCGTTAACTAAGAAGTTCTAATGATGAAAAGCAAAGTTAACATTTTGTAAAAAAAAACAAAAAAAATTTATTACTATTATATATATCTTCAATAAAAATTTTGTCAGCTAATACTATATATAATTCATAAATATATAAATACATAAATACAATGTGTAAATTATTTTTTTTTTGATATTTGATAAACTTCACATTCTCCTACCAAATGAATAATCTTATATTTATTTTTAAAATTTAAATCACTTTTATAAGAAGGAGACTTATGGTTATAATAACAATAAGGTTTATTACTATAATATAGACGTAAATCACAAAAATTTATAGAAATTTCGTGAAATTTTACACTATCAATAGTTTCAGCAATCTCTCGTTCATTATGAAATATTGCATATCCTGGTTTTTTAATTTTACTTAATTTTGAGTTATTTATCTGATTTTCATCGATTTTGAAAATGAAACTTTTATCTGTTTCAATGAAATATCGATCATTTGGAGACTTTTCTTTTATATTCCATCCAACTGGATTATAACCACCAATCAATTCTCCAGTATTTTTAATTTTCATAACGAACACAGTTTGTTCAGTATTATAACATTTATCCTCAAATGCAGATCTAGAGAATCCATCTTTAGTACCCCGAAAAATCAATTCAAAATCATAAGGCATTTTGTATTCTTTAATTTTGCGATTAATCCAAGTTGAAATTAGAGTTTTCATTTCCGAATCTAATAAATGTTCTGGTTTTTTTTTAATGATTGTCCCAATTTTTGTTTTTGTTCTTGGACCCTTTTGAGGTAATAGATTTGGTTCCAATTCATCATTAAAATAGTATTGAAGAACTTCCTTGTACAATTTTTTATCAAAGATTTTTTCAAATGGTAGAATATTACGAGAAAAATCACTTTGAGAGATTTGGTTGAATCTTATCAAAGGAATAATATCTTCCATTTTATTTTTTAACGCAATGAAATCATCTTTATTCCACTTTGAAATGTCTTTGTCCAGACTTTTATTGTCATGTTTTCCCCATCGAATGACAATATCCCAAACATCAATTTCTTCTAATTCTAAGTCATCTCTCTCTAACATAGTTAGAAGCATGGGTTTTTCAATTGTCATAATATCATTTGATTTAAAAATTAATCCTGGATTTTTATCGATCATCTGATAACAATAATCGTGAAGCGAGGTGAATGATTGATGACATGATGAAATTTTATGAGCATAAATTAAATTTTGGTGAATCCATTCTTTTTTTTTTTTAATCAAATAGTATTGTAAGTCATCAATTAATTCGCTAAAGTCGAATTCGTCACATGCCTCAAGAAGTTCTAAAATTTCATTTCCATCCAGATTATCTATGTTAAGAATTCCACTGTAAATATATCTATAAATAAAATAAAGTAATTTAAATTATTATAGTGATCATTCAATCAATTGATTAAATAAAAAATTAAATAAACTTACGTTAAAAAAATTTCAAATACTTTTGGAGAAATGTTTTTTTTTTCAAATAAAATAATATCATTATCAGGTTTTTTTATCCAATTGTTTGATAAAGCAGTTTTAAAATATGAAGACCTTGCCTTTAAAATGCTAGAATGAGCTCTAAAAGTCCTAACATTATCATCTGCTCCAACATTAATTTCTAAATCATAAGATTCGGGCTTATTCAATAACTTTGTCAAGTCATTTACAAGTCTTCCAACATATTTTAATGGAAGAGCATTGTTGTTGGAATTGATCAGGTAGTTAAATAATAAATTTAAGTTTTCTAATGATGAAAAGCAAGTTGTTGACATTTTGTTGAATAAAAAAAAATTATTTTCCGGTAGCAGTATTATTATTATAGCACAGAGTCGAACTTTATTTATTATTATCCTGTATAGCGAATAGAATGGTAGAAATTAGCATGTGTTCGCACAATACAGTTTCACTATTCGAATCATAGTATATACAATGAGCCTCGACTTAGCTTAATTAATTCCAAACTAGTAAATGCAGTTATGGGCCTGATAGATTAGAAAAATTCACGCTTGGTACTTCATTGGTTAAAGTTATTATTAGTGATTGAACAAAACCATCTCCTGTTGTTAAAAACTTCCAATACTTTTTTATTTGTACATATTTAAAATTTTTATAAAAAAGGAAACCTGGCAGTTCTTTTTTTTGGAATTTTTAAAAGGAAAATCCGAATTTTTCAAGTATTGTTTCCTTGAGTTAACTTGTAAAATACAAAAAGAAAAATGTAAAAAAAAAATATACCAATTTCATAAAAATCTATTACTATATTTTCAGGATAGTTTCTGGAATATTCATTTGTGTTTATGTCTACATTGTCGTAAGCAGTAGCTAAAAAGAAATTCAAGAATCCAAGTCGCTCATTAACAGAGGAAACATCGCCAACATTGATTGGTTGTAAGAAATAATTTTTTGCGTATTTGTAAAAAAAAAGCATTATTATTTTCAAATAAAACTTTAATTAGCATATCGGGTTCAATTTTGAAACCCATGATCTAATTTTTATTTTGTTTATTTTAATTTAAAGAAAATTTTGAAAGCTATGTAAAGGTGTATTCTTCCTCTTTGGAAATTCTTGATATAATAAAAAATAAAGTACAGTTCACTCTTTCTATAACAGCTCTGTTGTTTCAGCAAAAAAAAATCATTATAGAGAGAGATCGTTATAGACAGTATATGGTGTCCATTCGAATAAGGTTTATCAATTCAAGTTAACAAAACTCCCTCCAAACTATACCTGTGCTCTTAACAATAAGTTTTTCAATGACAACGTATGTAATGGAACCATTTGAGTAGGAATAGTCACAAAAATTTGTGACGAAGAAAACGTCCAAGTGACCTTCCCTACCTTGACCAGCATCAGTAAATCATTGTTCAGAAAGAAACATGTCTTTTCGAAATTGTTGGTAAGAGAGTATCGTGGAAACAATTCCTCTTCCAAAATACTTTTTCTTGACCATTCACAAGATACAAATGTTAATCTTACCGCACGTAAATTTGAATTTTGATGGGAACATATTTACTAAGGAACAAGTATATGTTCGATGAGCCGAGCTCCCTCATTAGAAAATTTAACAAAACAGTAAAAAAAATTAAATAAAATAAATCCGTCGTTGGATTAATTCTAATGATGTGAGCCAGCTAAGATGATTAAAAAAAAATTTCTCATGACATTCATGTTTATAGTTGAAATGGGTCCATATGCATTGCCTTGAATGACAAAAAAACATACATTTGCTCAAAAAAAATTTACAGTATTCATAGCAGGATTAAAAAATGGTTAGAGTTTCGTAATACAAATTTTTATTCGAATTATTCGTATCAATCTAATACTAATACTAATACTACATATGTAAACTCGATAAGTCGGTCACTCGATAAGTCGGTTTACTCGATAAGTCGGCCAAAAATTTCACCCCATTTTCTTAATATTTAAGTAATTTAATTCGATAAGTCGGTTTACTTGATAAGTCGGTCATATGAGCTCACCCTCACATGACCGACTTATCAAGTTAGATTTTGATGATCTGCAAAATCATATTTTATTAAAAAAAAAAAGTCAAAACGTAAGAAAGATACATCTTTGCCAACAGTTCAAAGAAAATCCTTGAGAGTCTCTGCCAACGCGTCTGAAGCAACATCTGCCAACGTGTCCAATATAACATCTGCCAACGCGTCCAATATAACATCTGCCAACTTGTCCAAAACAACATCTGCTAACTTGTCCAATACAACATCTGCTAACGCGTCCAAAACAACATCTGCTAACTTGTCCAATATAATATCTGCTAACTTGTCCTAGTTTAAACCAAATATCAAATGAGACTCATTAAGGGGGTTACACCCTATCAAAGTATATAGCTTAAAATCATGTGCTCACCACATGATCTTGATAATGTGTAACCTCCTTAATGAGTCTCATTTGAGATTCGGATTCAAACACTAACTTGTCCAAAACAACATATGCTAACGCGTACAAAACAACATCTGCCAATGCGTCAAAAAACAACAATAAAATAAATAAATTCAATGATATTATTAATCTTGAAAATTATACTAAATCAAAGGCAATGTCTACTTTAAAAACAGGTGATGACTACAACATCTGTGAAGGAGAAAATGGAAGTGAGAATGGAAAGGAGATTGGAGTGAAAATGAAGATGTGAATGAAAGTGTGAATGTTTCTTTAAATATGTCTGAGGGTGATAGTTATCATGGTCATGCTTTGAAAGAACTTCTAATTACAAATAATACCTGTAATTTATCAACCATTTGCTCAGGTTGCCAAAGTACAGAAGTATGAATAATAAATTTTCAATTGTTTAAATTTTTATTAATAATGGTTTATTATTATAGGGATAGGAAAATCTATTAATCATTCAATAAATTTGTTGCAATCTACTATTACAACAATGAGAGAGATCCAAGATAATCAGTTAAAAAATGATTCTACTCTTAAAGAAATTAAAGCATGTGTATTAGAATTGAAAATAGAATTGAAAAATTTGAAAAAGGATATGATATAAAATGGTGGAAGGTAATTTAATTTAATATTTATAGTTAAACAGAAATGTAATTCATTAATAAAATTAACTTGTGAATTTTTAAACAAATGCACCAAAAATTCAGTTCATGAATTAATTGAGAAGAAAGTTAATACATATTCGTAAGTTTATTATTGATTTTTTTTAATTAGTGATATATAAATTTTTTGGCATTTACAAAGTGTTTATAATAGGATTTATTTGGCTGCAAAAGAATCAACTTGTCCTTAATATAACTTGTGATGGAAGTCCTTATCTTAGAAAAATTACAGATTATCAAACACAAATCGTTAGATACTTTATTGGGTGTGATAAATATCATCAAAATGAGAAATGGCATTGCTATGCTAAGTTGAAACAAGAAGAATTAGATGTTCCTTTACTTAAAGATTTGTTTGAAGCCTCTGCACCAGTAAGTATTATTTTATTTTAATTTTTAAAAAATCAAATTATAAGAATAGACAATTAAATTAAAAATAATTATTTATTAAGGTTAAAGAAATTTCACATTGCAATATGATAATTCCAAAAGTTTCTAAATGTAAACAATGTGGTAATATATTAAATATATAATTAGTTTTGAACAATTTTGATTTTAATTTTAATATTATTTAAGATGCTTATCATGTTAATGATGGGAATGTTATTTGTGGAGTTATTGTTGAAAAGCCTTGTCCTGTATGTTTCATCAGAATAATTCTAGAGTGCCCATTTGTTGCTATCAAATGTATTGGAGTTCACAATCATCCACCTCCTTCACCTGATAAATTACCAAATGGCATTAAAAGTAACTTGCAAGCTTTAATTGAACAATCAATTGATGATAATGATACCACCACACTAGATTCAATTTTGTCAGGTATCAATTAAAGTTTTATTTCTAATCAATAATTTATGTCAATTACCACATTGTTAAATTAATTTTAATATGCAAATTGATAGGAAATTTAATCAAAGCTTATTTTGATAAGGAATTTCTACCTGAAGTACATTCATCATTAGATAATATTGATAAATTAAGATATTTGGTTGCCAAAGTTGCATCCTTTTGGTCAGGGAATAATGGGTGTCTATCATAATTTATTAAATAAAAATTTTGGCTTAAATAACTATCTTAGAAAAATTGGTAAAGTTTTTAAATTAATAATTTGTTTTATATTAATATTGATTTAAGATTTTTTTTTTTGAAAAAAAGAATTTTACTCTAACAATGGATAAGTATTAATTATTTGTATGCTCAATCAACAAATACAAGAATTATCAACTTTAGGTTGGATACAAATAGATGTCAGTTTAAGCTAGTTAAAGGAGAGTTAAATGAATTCGAAATCAACCGATATGATCCTGAACATCATTTAAGTAAGTGAAAAATTTTAAGGTATTTTATTTATTATATATTAATATACTTTATCTTTTGTTTTACAGTATTGACATTTGTTGAGTGTTCACAAATGTTTTCACATCAGATGGTTACAAAAGATTATTTAGTAACTAAGATAGAATCATTTTTATTACAAGAATCATTAGATTCTCTTTGTGGTGCATCAGCAGTTTACTTAACAATAGAAAATGACATTTTGTTACCTCTTGAAATGTAAGAGTTGTAGATTACACAGTGAATTCATCTTTATTAAAAATAGAAGAAAATGAACGAAAAATAAAAATTTTGGAAATATTATCTCAAGTTAGTATTAATTATAATTTATTGCCTAATTTCATATTTTTAATGGTAATTCTATGATAAAACGCAGATTATTAGTTTTGGTATGTCATAGCCAAAGGTTGGCCCTATAAAGGCTTTTGCTCCTCTTTAACTGTGCATGACTATCCAGTTAAAACAATGATATCTTAATTTTTCTGAAAACACATGTGTGAAATTTAATATAATTCCATAAATTGAAAGTGGATATATTGGCGTTCAAGGTCTGAAAGCATTAAAAGGATTTAATGTAGAGAGTGAAATTCCTCTATATCATAGCCAAGATAAAATAGAAGAGAATATTAACAAATTAAAAATTTTACTTGAGGTAAATATTAGATAGTTTGAAGTATTTTTTTCGAAAGCTAACAAAGTTGCATATTTAGCACCCTGTGACAGTGGTGAACACAAGTCTTTATGGGGCACTCAAACAAACTCTTGAGAATATTCATCCTTCAAGTCTTGCATGGAAAGAGTCTGTAGCAAGCATGGTTCTTCATGATACTTCAGATATTGTGAAAAAATTGAAGCATAGACAAAAGAGTACCTTTTTAAAACCTCAGGAGAATATGAAATGTGTTGTGCCAGATTCAGTTGTGGTAAAGCATGATGAATTTGTGGTAATTTTAACAATTCGAATGATTCACAGATTATGGGGAATATACTTCATAATAAAAATTGAAAAGAAATTAACTGCAGCCAGCGCTCGATATAATGAAGTTTTGGCTAGTACAAATTTGGAAACTATCTTCAGAAAAATTGAATTTTATTGAATATTAACACAGATAGTTTCCAAATTTGTACTAGCCAAAACTTCACTATATCGAGCGCCAACTGTGATCGCATTCTTCTACCTTGAATTTTGCATCTGTTATTTTTAGATTTGTGAGACATATTAACATTACCTATAATAAATGGACGGTTTCATTTTTTTGCAAAAGTGATCGGCATTACAAATTGTAACGTGCACGTGATTTTTTATTTTGAATAAATTGATCCCTTATATAAAAAATTATTATTGAACATGTCGTCGGAGCTTGATTTATTGAGGCAGTGAGTTTTCAGACTTGAGGCTAAAAACACTTATAGAAGAAATTGCTAATCTTAGGATCGAAAATACAAAACCAAAAAAAATCATAAAGGAAAATCAAACCGCTAATGATGCTTTACAAATGCCCATTCCACCACCGATTAATGACCACTCTGGTGAGAATGATAACATTGTGTCCATAAATTTAGAGCAGATACAAAGTGCTATTTCTCCCGAAGTTAATTCTAATAATATCTCTGAACAGATAGCTGATACATATGATGCATCAAGTCCTGAAATATATCAACCTATTCAGACAAAGTCTAAATCGTCAGAAGATAAAGATGTTGATGATTTTCTGGATTGGAAAAAAAAGGAAAGGTTAGTAATGTAATGAGAGAGAACAATAGTGAAAAGAAGATTCAACATACCATTTCTTCTGAAATAAATTCTACAACTGAAATTTCCCAAGATACCATATCTACTATAAACCAAGATCAAAAAACAATTCAATTGGAATCTCAAACTTTTGCTGTATCAGAGCAAATAAAGATTGATCAGGTACAAGACATTATTCCTTCCAAAATGGCGAAACTAAAGAAAAATTCCCTTTAACCAGAAAGTAGAGCAAGGTTTAAGGGATAAATTATCTGTTTGCATCAAAAATGATAGCAATGAATTAGTAATAAATTTGGTATACACATTCCAGAATTCTCTTTAGAAGCAATTATAAAAGAATCTGGTAAAGTTACATCACAAAATATAGTTGATTTATTTAATGTTGTTATGAAGACTAGACAAAAGGAGATTTTATGCTGGTATTGTACTATAAAGCATATGAGGATAGAATTGAAGATGTTAAGTGTATAAATAATATTAATTATCAATCAGTGAGAACATTGGTATATAATGAAATAAAATTGCTACTCCCTGATATTACTGATGTAAATTTATGCCAGAGAACATTTAGAGCTAAAAAAATTTATACATTATTTATGGGAATAGTGGTAGATAGAATTAAACAAGTTATAGTGCAAAGTGCTATTTCAAGTCTAACAGAAAACCAAATACAAGATACATGTATACATCAAAACTAGTTGACTTATGGCAAAACCTTTTATTTTCACACAGGCATGAAACTCTAGATTTAGACACCAACACTAATTCCATTTGACCTGTTGTTTGGTGAATTGCTCTTGAATCTGAAAAGTTTTTTTGATGTTAAAAATTGAACATACTTTTAGTGATCCATAATGAGGTATATACAAATAACAACTAATACTATTGCTTCCATTAATACTACAACTGAAATAGAAAAAACAGCCACTAATATTAATGATGATAGTTGTGGTGTGGTGGTAGTTTAATAGTTACTAGTAGTGGTGGTAGTAGCGTAACTAGTAAGAATTGTAATAATACTAAAGAAAATGATGGAAGTAATAGCAATAACAAAAGAAAACAAACATTAATTGTATACAATTCAACATGATGAATTTTTCTTTTTACAAAGAGAAATAACAAATTAATTTGTCAAATAAATTATTGATATTTAGGTACATAATTTTCTTTATCTTGTCTTTGGATATTCAAATACTTCAGTAATAGTTAGCACTGATGGTCAAATAAGTTTCCCTTCCTCTATCTAATGTAACATTAAACAAATATTCATAAATAAATATATCTAAAAAAAAGTTCATTACTTATTAATCCTTGTAAAAAAAATTATATTCAAATAATAATAACACATAATCATCATTGATATGATATGGGGACAAATGCCATACACTTAAATTTTCCTTATCGTGCTACTAAAATTTAAATAATAATTTATCCATAGCAAGGTACCTCAATAATTTCGCTACTAATGTTAATTATTACTTACTATTTTACCATTAGTAATATAAACTTGAATATTTTGATTATATGGTTATATCACCATCGTCCAACTCTTGATTAATAATGACTTTGAAAAGTTCAATTTCACTTTAACATTAATTGCACCATTACATATAACAATATCAAATTCGATTATTATTACTTATTATAATAATAATTACATGTTCAAACCGCATATTTAACATTTTAGCTATATTGTACTAGTGATGTTAGCCGGCTAATAATCTGCATGCATAATTTCTAAATTTGGTAATAGCTTTCTGTGTTACTTTCTTGTTATAGAAATAAAATTACCAATTTAGGTAGTAAACGGCTTAGCCGGCTAAGGATTTTTAAACGGCTAACATCACTAATATTTATTTGAACGTTTATAAAGGCCATGCAAAAATGAAACTTTTAATAATGCATGTCTACCCAGATCTCTGGGATTCACAAAAAATAAATGAATAAGAAAGATCAGAAAGAAAAGTATTTGTAAGGAAGCCCTTTTTCCTTACGTCAAAATACTATATAATGGTTTATTTATTAAAAAAAAATACAAGTTATACAAGTTATTCTTTATTAATTACGGAAAGCTTATCTTTTTATACAAAAATGCATAATATA